GCAGTGCTATTTATTATAATTATATTCATAAATCTGTTAGATTACAGCAGCTATAAAATATGTCAAGAGTTTAGAGGTGCAACAATTAATCGATTAGTCAATGTGCAAAAAATAACGTTTTTCAAGCAAAAAATGCCAAATTTTAAGTAGTTCCAGCTTCACAGATGACATGAGTTGACAATTTTCTTCTACTGAAATACTGAATTTATTTAGGTTTTGGAGTGTTTGTGGGACAAAGCAATAGGATTTATGGGCATGTTTCACTACATTCTAACATTTAAGTGGATGATACTTTAAAGTATGTTAATGTGTGTTTGTGCCCCTAGACATTTTAAATGATGCCATATTTGACGAAGACCACGATGAGATGGTGATTGTGAAGGACATAGATATGTTTTCACTGTGTGAACATCACCTGGTGCCCTTTTATGGCAAGGTAAGTCTGTGTATTTATGCATACCAACTGTAAGGGATTTAAAGATAGTGTGTTTCTGGGTTGAAAGCAGATATTACAAATAACTGGCCTGAAACAAGGGGTGGACTGGGGCAAATAAATGGCCTGGGAATTTGTCCCTGGTCAACCCATTCTTCAAAATAAGCATGGGGATTTAAATACCTTTTTCCTGCATTCTTGAGAATTTTATTTAAGTATAGTACATCATGAAATGAGCCATTAAAGTACAAAAAGTCAAAACTACAAACCCCTATCTGGCTCTTTGTGGCTGTAGAAGTAGCAGCAGCACCAAAAGAAAAGTCTTTAACTGCACCTGCCCTTAGCAACTTTTTTTCTCCCTTAACTTTTTAGCACCACCTTTGTGTTTCTTCTAAAGTTTTTATCCATTGAAGCACAAATAATTGGGCTAGGGGTTAGGTCCACGTTTCAACCACTTCTTTATATTCTGGCCAGTAACCACTCACTACTTGCCAGTGATCCAATCGATTCTCAACTGCAGTTGTTTGTCTCTGTTTTATTACTATGTGGTTTATCAGCCAAATTCTCCTGTGGCCCACCCGGAAAACTTCCGGTCCTCCCAATGGCCAGTCTGCCCTTGCCTGAAACACTGTATTTGTGCAGGCTCGTGCATGTGGGTGTCACTGTCTTGTTTTTCTGCTTACGAGCTGATGTGTGCTGTGTATGTGTGTGTTTCTAAGGATTGTGAGGTCAGTGTCAGTATTTAATTGCTAATATTTACCATCCTTCACTCTGATAATGTGACCTCTGCTTTCATTGGCTGCCATCTCTCTTCAGGTTCACATCGGGTACATTCCCAACAAAAAAGTGGTGGGACTAAGCAAGCTGGCAAGGTAACACAGCGCATGCACACACACATTATACCCTTGTGCTGTCACTGTGGGTGTATGTTTCTGGTGTTAGTGCCGGGTGGCAGCGTTCTTCTGTTATGTCAGTGCATTGACCTGGAGGCTTAAGTCTAAGCCCAATGGCCATCATCTAGTCCCCTCATCAAGCACACTCACAGACACAAATCTAAACTCTATCCGCTCTCGAGCCATGAGAAAATCCCTTCGGACCTGTGGGAATCAGCACTTATTTTCACAGCCTCTCTGTCTGTCTCCTCTCCCTTTCCTAAAATATCACACCATCTCTGAACATACAAACCCAGAATACCAGTAACAGAGTCACTGGGTTTTTTTAGGCTGACTTGCTGTGGTTGAATCTTGCACGACAGATTCAGAGAGTTCTGTAGGGTGAATCATTCACAGATGAAGGGTCTGTACAGTTGGATTGCCAGACTAGAGGCCGCGGGTCAGGGACCGATGCCAGTCTGTGTTTAACAAATGATTAATCATTATTACGTCTGATCTATAATCAGACCTCTCTGTTTTGCTTATGTTCTGGTTTCTGCAGGATTGTGGAGCTCTTCAGTCGGAGGCTCCAAGGTGAGCGACCAAAGACACTGCGCAATATCAAAAGGCTTTGCATACAGTCAGAGCACTTTTCTTCCAGTTTAACCAAGAGTTTATATGCAGTCTGGTGTTATCATGTTTACATGTGTGCCATACTTTTGTTTGATTTCAGTTCAAGAGCGTCTGACCAAGCAGATTGCCATGGGAATATCAGAGGCCCTGCAGCCAAAAGGTGTAGCTGTGATTATTGAAGCAGTGTAAGTACACACACCACTTCTTCATCATCATCTGTATGATTTAAAGCTGTCCTGATACCTCAGGCAAAATGTAAAAATGTTACCATAAAGCCATTTCCCTTATTTGAGCGAGAATTATTCCAGTCTGCCATCACGAAGGCCGTTACAAAGGCTCTAATTTCTGCTCTGAGAAGACATGAATGAGGATACACAAGACCAACTTGGCAGCAGTCTTTTACTGGACTGACACAGTCCTTTATTGCAAAATGTGTTAGTGACTGATCTGAACCCACACCACACCATCACTGCAGTTTTATACTTAGTCTCTTACTCTTAGGTTTTAGATTCTGTTTGCTGATTCTTCATATAGTTGAAAGCAATGAAACTGTGTGTTTGTGTAGGTCGATTCACAAAAGAACCACTACCGTCTTCATTCATTAAGGAGAAGAGAACGATTTCTCTTCTGTTCTGAATCTGTATCATGGATAATATTATTGTCGGGAGAGAAGGGGAGCCTGTTGTCATTTCCCTTCAGTCTCGTGAGCCTGGAAATTCCTGTGCGTCGAGTAGAAACTATAGTTTGTGGGAGGGACTAAGATTCAAGGAAAAGACGCAAGTGAGGGAAATGTGGATGCAATTATGGGAATTGGCATGTACTCTGTGCAACCATTAAAATAATTAACACAGTTTTCCTTTTACAAATTAAAAGTTGAATTCATAAGCAATAAAACACATTCCTGGTTGAATCGATACACTGTACAACCTTACCTTATCTGGTACGACACTTGCTTTTGGTTGCTGAATGCTCATTTTTAATTAAACCCTGACTGACACTGACTTTACACATTTGTTCACATGTACCCCTAAACAGACTTTGATGTGTAAAATTGTGGCCTTTGAACACATGTTCTATAGGTCAAAGACCCTCCTCAAAGCATGTCAAACGCTGCAGCTGCAAATCTGAGCCATGTGTGTGTTTGCAGGCACATGTGTATGGTCATGCGTGGCGTCCAGAAGATGAACAGCCGCACAATGACGAGCGCCATGGTGGGACTTTACCTCGAAGACCCCAAAACCCGGGAGGAGTTCCTGACCCTTTCAAAGCACACTTAACAAATGTCATACACCATTCACTCCAAAGCCTCTTTATACAGTTGCACACTGAAAGCTCTAGAGTAACAGTGCATCCACAACTGACTTTACTTTAAGAAAACAAAAACTAATAGCAGGAAACATGCTGGAAACAACAAAGCTGCTGTTTGATGCTGTATCCAAGCCTACTCTGGAGCTCACCTCAAAATGCCTGGTAGATTTCAATCCTGTTGCTGAAATCTATCATTTGAAATCACTGTGAACATTATAGGAAATGAGAGACACATTTTTGGTGCCTTTGGTAGATATTTTATAGTCTTACATGGCAATATCAAAACAAAATGCCACATTCTTTAAGCAAAATCTTAACTAATGTGGCATTATAACATTTCACTCAGGTTTCATAACTACAGGTTTTATAACTACATAAAATGTGAAACCTGAGTGAAATGTAATGCCACATTAGTTAAGATTTTCAGTCACTTTATTTGATGGGAATTTCATTGGTGCTATTGCAAAGTGGTACTCTTAACACCTTTTCTTTTCCTTATAATCATATTTAGAATCCACGGATTTTAATGATTTAATGAACTTTGAGTAATTTATAAATACATTTATAGTCTTTGTAATATATGAAATTTTTAAGATACTAATCAAAATTATTATATCTGTAGTCCAAAGAGTAGAGTAAATGATGTCCTGAATAGATGGTATAAAAATGATCACTGTGCTTAAATAAACTAGCTTAAACAATATGAAAGTTGTTGATCTTTCTTTGTGCATGTCAAAAAGATGTTAACGGCCAAGGAAAGGTTTCTGTGTTGTGTTTATTTCAGTGTCTCGATTTCATACTACATGCAAATTCTAAGAGTATGTAGTGTGTTCACACAGAAACATTACAATTCATCCTATTGGGACCATAAATGTCTGTACGAGATTTTGTGTAAACCCATCATGTTGATATTTCACAGGGGGAAAACTTTGACCTCCTGGAGGAAAAGTCAGGGGTTCACCAAAGTCAGTAGGATCTTCGCCTTCTGGTGATCACGGACCTCTGTACACACTTTCGTTGAAATATTTCAGTTTGAAGCAAAGTGGTAAACCGACCATTTTTTCCATCCCTAAAAAGTCCTAAATGGTAAACTACACTTATTTCTATACATTATTCTACATATACAAACTGCAGTATATATACTATACAGTACATTCTAATTTGAACACTAAATGCTCTATAGAGTTGGCCGTATTAACAGGTATAAACTGGGATATTATAACGATAACCCTGAATGCAAAAAGGCAGTGATATAAGAAGCAAACTAGAGGATCCAGAATTACATAATCAGTTATAGTTGCAGACTTGTAACTGGACTGTAAGTGGATTGTTTTTTTATTTCAGGTTACTAAACTGGCTTGAACATCTGGCTCATCTGCTACATCCAAACATTACCTACCATACATTATTTGTATTAGCTGGAGACTAGTGCTGTTTTTGTGATGTGGTACAACAGCATAAATCAATGAGACATATAAGCAAGTGTGTGCACATGTGGTTGAAGGCCTGAGGGAGTGCAAGGCATTTAAATATCAAAAGGAGGAGCCTTATGTCAAACAACCTATGAACTGTAACCTCTATCTCCAACAGCAATGATGCAGGGGGAGGAACTGTGCAACATGCAGTTTCCAAATCTGATTATGTAAGAGAAAACCAATTATTACAGCCATACAGGACAAACATGGGTATGTTGTGCGTAAGAGGCTAAAATTATACCCATAATGGCTTCAAGCAGAGGCACAAATAATCCTGTCAAATGTACTCCTACTGAATGCTTTAATTCACTCAAAAATGCAACACTTCATATATTACATACAGAAATCTGTTTTTAAAAAGCAAAGAATCCAAGTCTAAGTATTGAATTTAAAATATACAGAAAAATCTAGAAGCCTCAACTTGAGGGGCAGGTGATAACTGGTGGTATGGCCACTTTAATAGTTCCAGTGGCTTTATATAATAAGAGGGCAAAGCCACCTCCAAATCTCTCTCTTTCACGAAGGTGGGAAGAATAACAGTAAAGAGTCATAGGTGTCTATGACAGGACACTGTCCTGAAAATGTGACCTAGGACAAACATGCACCATCAGTCTCATCCTTGCAGCTGTTCTCTGATCGACAGGCTGTCACACAGATGTCTGTTTGTAGTTCTTTGTGTCCAAAACTTTTTTTCCACACATTGCACAGATTCCTGGAGAGACAAAAAAGAAGGACAGAAAAAGTTAAGAAACATAGCCGAAGAAGGAAGATATAAAATGTAAAGAACCATGCCAGTGGCATTTTCTGGGTCATGCTTCTAAACTTCAAATCAAAACATTTTTGCAGATCCATTTACGCATGTTATAGCGGTCGATTTATTTTGTACCTTCGCAGGCAGTCATTGTTTTTAGACGTTTATGCACAGTATGAAAGTCAATTATAATATTCTTGGAACTTGCGAGTCTGCAACCATTTTCAATGTTAGAGCTGCAAAAACAGATATATATATTATATATATATATATATATATATATATATATATATATACACATACATGGCTGTGCGATATGACTATATCATTTGACAATAGAAAAACGTCTATCGTTTACAATTATTTATTATAATATATATATTATATCGTAGCGTCGCAAATTCCACACTTTACCGTAATATTTTGGTGAGGCCGTTCCCTCACCTTTGCAGTGTGGAAAAGTTAGCTTTACATTGGCTTAGCTTTGCAGCAGCAAGTAGCATCAGTTTGCTAATCCACAACCTACCTAACATTATTTACATTACTTGCTGTGTCGTTGTTCACTCTATCATGGTATAATTTGTCATGGTGTTGGATTTCTCCCTTCTAAGTTTCAATTACCCCAGTTTATAATGCAGAGGAATATCCGAGTTCCAGTTGAAAATGCCTTAGTAACAGAGTCACTGGCATTTTTTAGGCTGACTTGCTGTGGTTGAATCTTGCACGACAGATTGAAATGATCTATATCAGGTTATTAATTTTTTGCCATATCGAACAGCCCTAATAGAATATTATGTTATGTACATTTTATATGTAACTGTGTCACTGTCTCTCCATATTGTACTTCTGCCTACTACTGTATATAGCACACCGATTGAATGCCTGTCCATCCTGGACTAGGGAACCCTCCTCGTTGCTTTTCCTGAGGTTTCTCCCTTTTTAGGTGCATTTTTAATCAAGGGTCTAAGAATAGAAGGAGCCTCACATTGACAGTCTGAGACAGGTTTGTGATTTTGGGATATTATTAAGGAAATACACTTGATTTGCACAACAGTATATTTCTATAGTGTGCTGACAGATTTTCTACCCTATGAAAATGAATGTAAACCAATGGATGCCTGAAAAGTTAAGATACATTCAAATTTCAAAAACACAGCAGCATGTTTAGAGCAGTTGTGAAGTTAAATATAAATAATCAGCAGTAAAAAGCTGCTAAAAGTATATTGTGAGGTCCTCTAAATTTGAAACATACACAGTGACTATCTTCCTGCCTCTGCACCATATGAACTGGAGATGGTGCTTGAACATCGGTTTGTTATGTTAATGTTATTGTGGCTTTTCTGTTTAACCTTTCCACGGTGAAGTCCACATAAAGTGTTGTTTCATATGGAAGTTTTATTAATGAATGCAATAGAAAAATAGATCAAGTTATGCTGTGGATTTCAACAGTTAGAAAATGTTAACAAGTAGAGAAGTGTAAACATTTTAAAAAGGCGGTTGGTGACAGATGTTGATTTTCACCACCTTCACAAAACTCACAAGAGGGAGCGCTAACATCGTTCCACATTAGCCACACTGATAAGGCTACAGACTTTTTTTTTTGTACATCGGCCTTATGATGAGTGCCGGTATTGGCTCATGCCAATTATCTCAAAATGCTAGATAACGGCCCAATTATTTGTCCGACTGATAACTGCTCTATCAATATATTTGGGCACAGTCCACAGAAGTCATCATCATGTTTGTGGAACCATTTGGTAATGAAGCTATTATGCACTGTACTTGGACCTGCCCTTTATTTGTTTATACTGTTTATTGTGTCTCCACTGCAGCTTTACAAGGACTGATTTTCTGTAGCTAATACTATCCGCTTCATGGTGCCAGCAAACACACCACATTCAAACAAACCTATAAAAGTAACCCATCCTATTGATTCTTGATAATCCACAGACCTCTTTGTCAGCTGTTTTCAATAGAATACATTTCTACTGAGAAATAGAGCCTGATCACAGTGTGGTGTGTGAAGTTTATAGGGTAACAGGTACATTGAAATCTCAGACAAAAATCTGAAAACATGGCCAAACAAACTCAAAACCATCTGCTTGCCTCTACAGAGGCAAGTGAGAAGGCATGTTTTTCCCCTTGCAATTTAGGTCACTAGTGGAACATAAAACTCATCAGGATTTCGGCTCAGTATGTAGTGCGGTGTGGGTGAGTTAATACCTTTCTTGTATGCACAGCCCTGACAGTAGTGTGATCCAGACTGATGAACAGAGCTCTTGCAGATCCTGCAGGTAGCAAAGCCCGTCTTGCTGTAAGGGTCAAACCTAAGAGGGACAAATGGACATGATAAATGTAAATGTGCAACAATTGGCGATAAAAACTACTTACTCTTTTTAGATAAAAATAGAGACAATGATGGTGACATTGTCTCACAAACAAAGTGATGAGTCACATTAACTAACTTTTGACTTAAAGCCAGGGTTTTAGCATACTCACCTGGCTTTCTTAGCAGTCAGCATCTTGTTTTCATTGAGCTTGCGTCCACCACCCTCTGAGTGAATGAGGCAGAAGGAACTTCATTAAAAATTATAATCTAAGGAACATTACATTATAGTATGTCACAATTAAAAGATCCCAAAAAAACAAAACAAAGGCATAATTAATGTCCAGTGCGGGCTTAAAAAATGTGTGTCAATCAAAAAAAAAAAAAAAAAAAAAGGGAGGTCAAGCTTGTTTTTGTAATCAAAGCAGATATCACTTGAACTTTGGAAGCAAAAAATTATGTTGATTAGTGATAAATTTTTGTATTACATCAAAAACAAAGAAGACAAAATGTGCATATAGTATAAAACATCATGCCAGCAAGATATAACAGTAGAATAGACGGGTTAGGCTAAGAATTTCGCCTATATTGGAAGTTTAATCTAAAGTGAAAGAGTCACACCTGACATGGCAACCTAAATATATCACAGTGCACAGAATGGAGCAGAGAGATAAAAGGATCTATTTTTACACGTTAAACTGCTGAACACTTGGAACAACATTACATACCGAAACTAAAGGTGATGTCCTGATTGTTTTGAAAAACAGCCTGCCATTCTGTCAGAAACTACTACACACAATACTACCACATGTCTGCAGGCACATGGCAAGTAGCCATTAACCTATAGTGGTTTCTGTGTTTATTAAAGAGTATATATATATAATATATATATATATATATATATATATATATAATATTTTTTTTTTATTAGTGTTTTGATATGTACACTGTTTAATCTGTTCATATAAGTATAGATTAAATATCTTTGGGTTTAGACTGTTGAACAAACACTATTTGAAGCTAAAAATAACAAGACACTCATAGTTATTTTACAAGAGGTATTACTACTTTTCATATTGTTTCTTTTTAAGTGTCTGATGGGTAAAAACACATTTTCTTTCTAGTGTATCCACCCAAATGCAAATTCACTTTGCTCTCATCTAACAGCATATTCAAAGTAGCCTTGAACAGAGAA